GGGGGGATTGGGATTTGGGGGTTTGGGGAACACCCCCGCGACTTTGGGGGGCACAAGAGGAGAGCGGGGTGAGAACGGGGGGATTGGGGTTGGGGAGGGAGACACACCCGTGACTTTGGGGCGCACAAGAGGAGAGCGGGGTGAGAACGGGGGGATTGGGGTTGGGATTTGGGATCTGGGGGGTTTGGGGAACACCCCCGCGACTTCGGGGCGCACAAGAGGAAAGTTGGGTGAGAACGGGGGGATTGGGGTTTGGGGCTTTGGGGAGGGGGACACACCCGGGAATTTTGGGGGGCACAAGAGGAGAGCGGGGTGAGAACGGAGGGATTGGGGTTGGGATTTGGGATTTGGGGGGTTTTTGGAACACACCCGTGACTTTGGGGCGCACAAGAGGAGAGCGGGGTGAGAACGGGGGGATTGGGATTGGGATTTGGGATTTGGGGGGTTTGGGGAACACAGACACAACTTTGGGGCGCACAAGAGGAGAGCGGGGTGAGAACAGGGGGATTGGGATTTGGGGGTTTGGGGGGTTTGGGGAACACCCCCGCGACTTTGGGGGGCACAAGAGGAGAGCGGGGTGAGAACGGAGGGATTGGGTTTGGGGATTTGGGTTTTGGGGGTTTTGGGGAGGGGAACACATCTGGGGCTTCGGGGGGCACAAGAGGAGAGTGGGATGAGAACAAGGGATTTGGGATTGGGGTTTGGGGGGTTTAGATTGGGATTTGGGGAGGGGGGACACACGCGGGGCTTCGGGGTGCACAAGAGGAGAGCAGGGTGAGAACGGGGTGTTTGGGGTTGGGGTTGGTTGGTTTTGGGGGTGGATTGGGGGATTTGGGGAGGGGAACACACCTGGGAATTTTGGGGGATGAGTGGAGAGCAGAGTGACGCCTTTGGGGTTGGGAGGAGTTTGGGGGGAGTTCCATTGCCACTCCTGCTTGGAGTGGCTGGAGAGGGGATTTGGGGGATGGTTTGGGGTGCCCCAATCCCAATCCCATATTTATTTATTTTATCCCATATTTATTTATTTATTTAGGAACATGCCCGTGGAGTGGCTGGAGCAGAGCCTGTGGGCTCTGGGGATGCTTTGGGATATCCCAATCCCAATCCCATTTTTATTCATTTTATCCCATATTTATTTATTTGTATTTAAGGGCATGCCCGTGGAGTGGCTGGAGCAGACCTGTGG